CTGCGGTGGCTACTGCGGTGGCTTCTGCGTTGGCCTCCTCCGGCCCCTTCAGCTGATTGCACTTGAGCGTCAGACCTGACTAATGATCCAGCTCTTACCAACTTGGGCCTCACTTTTAAAAATAAGTGTTTCAGCCAGTCTAGCCCTGAGATTTAATAGCCGATATTGTATGCACATTAAACACCAAATGATTGTTAACATATTTATTGAAGCTTAACAGGCATCCAGTATATAAAAGATGACTCTCTTATATGGCTGTCAGACCTCAATAAACATATTTAATAATTAATTGACATTAAGCAAACATAATTGTGTAATTCTAAATTAAGTGCTCAGTGAAGCGTATTGTGAATAGAAAACCACAGTGGTGTTTTATTACTTAAAGTTCAGGCTGTCAGTCTGGCTTTTCATGTATCAAGAAAAGAGCCCACTTTGAAAGCCATGTTGCTGACCTCCTTTTGCCTCAGACCACAAAAGGCAGAAGCCTACCTGCTCCTAGGCCCTTTGATTGGAGAAAAAAAAAATTTACTTGCTTAGCTGTTTGTCTTTCTGTATATTCACCTGGGGTTCTGCAAGTCCTGAGCCAGGCGATTGTGTAATGTGAAAGAATTTTCACATGTCAGCTTTGAGTTGAATTAATTAGTGCTGCCATAAATTCCACCCCCACCCCCGCCATGCCCAATACAGTTGCTTCTCGTCATTTACTGTGGTTATATTCTCTAACGTTGCTGTAAACACTGAATTAGCGAATACTGAACTCTGAGCTCCTAGGGGAAATACAGGATTAGGTCTGTCAACCCTGAGAAAGAAGACACCTACCAAGAAGGGCTCCTGTGGCTAACCGGGCTCAAATTTAAAAGCAGAGGCTAGCAGCCATTTGTCAACAGGGGCTTCTCACACAAGCCACACCTGAGGGAGAACCCGGCATTAAACCGTCTGCCTCAGGGCTGAACCACCTGCCTGCACAGTGTTCCTGCCCTCTGAGCCAGTCCTTATAAAGGAGCTCCTGGAATCCTATTTCAACCAACAGAACTGAAGTTTTCCCTGTCTCATGGGAGCTGTGCAAGTATATTCCATAAACATCTTCACTGACCAAACAGAGGGTGCTTTTTGGACCAAACTGTGAAGATTTGGAGTCCTCATTTGCATGAGGATAGACCAGGGTGGGGGACTTCTGTCTACCTGTCAGCTCCCCTCTGGCTCAGGGAGAGAGAGCACTTTCTCACAGCCCTGCTGTGTCACAGTTGAGCTGTTTGCAGTGCATGAAGTTTCCGTCTTCACCACACCCCGAATTTGGGATTCCTTTGGCATTGAATTGGTGCCAGCATTGATTGACAGGTTCCTGTGAGCCTCTGGTCACAACATTTTGTCAATGTCAGTGCATGACTTTGTTTTATGTGTGTTTTGTTCCATTTAAAGTCACATCGTTAAACGTATATTGTTGATTCATTAACATTGAACTCACAGCCAATAGCACTGTAATTCACTCTTCTTTTAAAATCATGTTTATCCCATTACAGTTGTCTCAGTTTTTCCCTCTTTGCCCTCCTCCACCCATTCCACCCTGTCCCCCGTAATTCACTCTCGAATGATGCTCATCTGACACACGTATTCCCTCCGAAAGACCCCTCACAGCCTTCCTGCACTTAGAAGCACCAGACAGCACTTTAGCATTATTCACAGGGGCCATTTTAAACAACAAAACACCAAAAAAAAAACCCCACAAAAATGTGGGAAAAATGTGGCCCTAAATAGACCATGGAAGGACACTTGTGTAGGGAGCTAAACAAGAGGCAGAGCGTTGCCCGGTTCGACCACAGCTGGGGCCAGGCTGATGGACAATTCACATTTTTTTGCAACTTCTGTGCTTGTTCGCCCATGTTCATGCATGCTTTGAAAGTGCCACGGGTGCTGATTTTGAGATTACATATAAATTTGTGCACATTTGAAAATACAGAATCCTGGAGTAATATAGCTTGACTGTAATCAGATTCCATAAAGCACAGCTGTTTGTATACATCCCTCCGCCAGGTCTTTGTACAATATAAGGCATTCTGCTGCCTGGAACATTGTCTGCCCAATCCCAGTGCTGCTTTGGCACATAGTAGGTGCACAATAAATATGCGTCCAAGTCCAATGAGTAGTTTTTAAGTAAGGACCCCAAGCCGATGTCATTTGAAATTCTCTTTACTTTTCTCCAGTCATTATTTCCTTTTAGTTTGCTATTATTTCAGGCCTGTTAATAGTCTACCTTGGCTTTTAACTTTCCTTTTTCATGTCCATGAGTTCTTCCTTTTTCTTCTTTTTTGCTCAATCCCTCTACTCTCCCCAACCCGCTCCCTGCCCGCAAGCTGTCAGCTTGTTCTCCATCTATGATTTTGTCTCTATTTTGCTTGTTGGTTCAGTTTTTTCATATAATTCCACATATGAATGAAGTCACATAATATTTGTCTTTCTCTGACTGGCTTATTTCCCTTAGCATAACATTCTCCAGGTCCATCCATGCTGTCACAAGGGGTAAATTTTCTTCATTTTTATAGCTGAGGGTATTCCATTGTATAAATGTACCGTAACTGTTTTATCCACTCATCTGCTGATGGGCACTAGGGCTACTTCCAAATCTTGGCGATTGTAAATAACACTGCAATGAACATAGCGGGTGCATATATTCTTTCAAATTAGTGTTTCGGGTTTCTTCAGATAAATTCCCAGAAGTGGAATCGCTGGGTCATAGGCAGTTTCATTTTTAATGTTTTGAGGGACCACCGTACTGCTTTCCACTGTGGCTGCACCAGTCTGCATTCCCACCAACAATGGATGAGGATTAAAATTCTGTCTATCTCTCACCTGCCCCGAAATCCTTCAGAGACCTGAAAATAAAGCCATGCTCTCTACTGGCGATGAATCCCTTAAAATTCATTGGAAGGGACAAAGAAGCATACCCCAAGCAGGCACTGTGGGCTGGGTCGGATCTGTGTGGCAGGCCGAAACTGTCCCCAGGATCTCATCCGTGTGTGACTCCCATCCACACACACCGTACGGGGAGGCAGGGTATGCAGGCTTACAACCTCTTTAGAAGACGCATCTGGGAGCAGTCCTGTAACTTTACAAAGCCACTCTAATGGCAATGTTCTTGGCACTAATGGGCACATAAGGGATCCTCTAGGGCCAGTGGTTCTCCCTGGGGTCTCACGCAGTCCCCCCTGTGGCCCTACTTGAAGGTTTGAGAAGCTTGGCCCTGCAGTCTGGGGAAGCAATGAATTCTGTGGGGATCCCTTGGACAATTGCATTTCTGAGGACTGGAATTTTATCCCTACGGATTTAAGAACATATAAATATACATATGTTATGAAAGTCATGCATACTTATTTTAAAAGCTAGAAAATTACAAGTGTTGACAACAACGTGGAGAAAAGGAAACATTCGTGGACCGCTGGTGGGAATGCAGATTGGTGCAGCCACTGTGGGAAACAGTGTGGAGGTTCAAAACACTAAAAATGGAACTGCCTTTTGACTCAGTAATCCCATTTCTGGGTATATATTTGGAGAAAGCTGAACCACTGATTTGAAAGAATATATGCCCCGCTATGTTCATTGCAATATTATTCACAATAGCCAAGATATGGAAGCAACCCACGTACCCATTCAACAGATGAGTGGATCAAACAGCAGCAGTACATTTATACAATGGAATACTACTTAGCCATAAAAAAGAACGAAGTATTACCATTTGTGATAGTATGGACCTAGAGGGTTATTACGGTAACTGAAATAGTCAGTCAGAGAAAGACAGATGCCATAAGATTTCATTTATATGTGGAATCTAAAGAAAAATATAAATGAACAAACAAAACAGACTAATTGATACATAGAACAGACTGATAGTTGCAAAAGGGGAGAGAGGTTGAGGGACTGGATGAAGAGGTGAGGGATATGAGAAGTAGAGGTTGGCAGTTACAAAATAGCCTTTGGGACGTAAAGTTCAGCACAGGGAATACAGCCAATAGCACTGTAATAACTCTGTATGGTGCCAGAAGGGTGCTGGAAATACCGGGGTTGGGGGAACACTTGGTAAAGTATATGATTGTCTAACCACTATGCTGTGCACCTGAAACTAATACAAAATAACATTGACTGTAAACTGTAATTGAAAAATTGAAAAATTAAAAATAACAAAGAAAAGAACAGGTCGCATACCTAGTCCCATCATTACCTAAGCATATGCATTTTAGTATTTTGGCATAATTGGTAATTTTTTTCTTTTGCGCATGGGTTCTCAGTATAATTTTAGTCACACTGCATATAAAAGTCGGTATTATGCTTTTTTTCCTCCACTTAACATGACATTCTAAACACATCTGTGGGATTGCATAGTTCACATCATCCTTATTTTAAGCAGCTACAAACTGGCCCATTGATTGATTGCATCATAGTTTGCCAGCAATTCCGCTATTGTTAGACTTTCTAGCTTCTTCACTCTTTCTATAAATAACAGTGTAATCTACTTTTCTTTTTTCCCTAAAGATAGTCCCTGTCTGGGATTATTCTTAGCCCAGATTGTCAGGAGTTACTGGATCATTAGGCCGGGACACTTTTAAGGCTCTCAATGGTATAGCCTTATTGCTAGGAGTGTGGCAGCATGCCCATCTCTCAGCATGTGTTATCATTTTTTTAAATTTTTTCCAAGTTTAAAGAAACGCAGAGTAGTTTTCCTCACTGTGGCCCTTCTACACAGGACATCCACTTTCAGATGCCCAGGCCTTACTTAAACTGTGTATGCAAGCACGCATGTGTATGTGCGCATGCACATGGGTACAGAATACGATATATTAAAGACTCATGATATTGGCAAGAAATGTCTTTGTCTTGTGCTTTTCCCCAGCATTTCTTGAAAATATTTCAAAACTTTCTGCCTAGTATGCTTGGGTTTTGTTTTGTTTTTTTAATCTATTCTCTCCGCACCTCACCACCCCCCCCCCCCCCCGCCATGGAAAATGCAGCTCCTGAGGATGACAATTGCGAAACAGAGGCTTGGAGATGAAGAAATCGGAGTACGGCACTTTGCAGCCCACGAGCGTGAAGACTTGGTTCAGCAGCTGGAGAGAGCAAAGGAACAGGTTATTGCTAACATCTGTGAGCGGAGGATGGGTTTGCACAGCTGGACACAACCCAGAGCAGAGTGGGCTGAGTCCCGGCTGCCCGGTGGGTGCAGGGTGTCTGGGATGCGAGGAAGAGGAGGAAGGAGGGTGAAAGCTGGAGGCTTTCCCTTCCTTGCTCCTCCCCTGTGTTCCCAAGCCACCTCTGTGTCTCTGGCTTCCAGCAGGTCTGCTGCTGCTTTTGGTGCCATTGTTCTGAACACAACAAGAAACTGCCCCCTTAGCCAGGATAGACAAGGAGAGAACAAAAAGTGACAAACTGGCCTTAATTTGCAAGTTTCCGCTCAAATAGCTGAGCAGTGCTTTATAGGCAAAATCTCAACGGGTACAGAGTCCTAGTTAGGGAACAGCTAAGAGAGCCCAGACTTCGCTTTCCTTCTCTTGCTAATTGGTTTTGAAGAGCAGAACAGGATTTCTGGGTCTAGAGTGGATTGAAAAAGCATGTGTTTGTAAGCTACTGGCTGCTGTTCCCATATGTCGGGATCTGCCCTCTCCCAGCCTTTGACGTTAGAGCATGACGCCATTGGTTAGGGATCGGTTCTGTTTTTCCAAGCTGGTACTCCCCTCCCACCTTAGATATATTTAGTAAGTGGCTGGCAGGACGTCATCCCCTTCCCTTTAGCTTTGCTCGTATCCCAGTTAGTGGCTCTTACAGTTTTATAGCATGCGGGTGGCATTAATAAGCTCTCTAAAAGTCAGCCAACCACACAGGAGGCTCCATCTCTGGCCATAAAGCTGGTTATCTGAAGAACATCTTGAGTAAGGGCGCTTCCTTTGGTTTCAGATTGAGTCTCTGGAGCATGACCTGCAGGCCTCTGTGGATGAGCTTCAGGATGTGAAAGAAGAGCGGTCTTCCTACCAGGACAAAGTGGAGAGGCTCAACCAGGAGCTAAACCACATCCTGGGCGGCCATGAGAACCGCATCATTGATGTGGACGCACTGTGCATGGAGAACAGGCAGGTGGCCAGGCCCGGGTCTGCGATCCATCGGGGAGATTGCTGCTCTGCCACAGGCCTGCAGCCTGGGAGTTATCTGCAGCCCTGTTCACGTCTGACAACATTGCCTTACAGTGAAAGGAAAGTCACAACCCCCAAAGCAATGATATTAATGTCACATATTAGCCATAAAAGTCAGAAAAGGAGTGCCACATGCCTACATGTGTACGCCTCTCTCCCTTTCCCCACTTGGGCAAGAGGGTAGGGGACCAGTAAAAGCTGCTTGTTATTGCTATCAAGGAGAGAGAAAAGGATAAGAAAATAAATTGAGAAATTCCCATAGCTGTTTCTTTTCCCCGAGGCAAATTTCAGTGTGTGTATGTGTCTAACTTAATGTTATGTCTGGTGTCGCCTCTTCCTGCCTTCCTTCCCAGTGGAATCATCTTAATGAGAATTATGTGAAAACCATGTTGATACCCCTTAGGGAATCTCTGCAGAGGGCTCATCTGAAGTGTGGTTTTTGTGATTTGGGCATATTTGACCTTGATCGCATTCATTTAAGAAGAGGTCACAAAGATACACTTTTCTCCCCCTCCCTTCGGTAAGGGGAAGGCATTATAGGTAAAAGATGGCTCTTCAGACATGTGCTTTTCTTTCTCTCTCCTCTCCTATTTGAGTGTGTGTTTTTTATTTTGTCCCCAAACACTTTCTAGTTGTCTTTTTCTCCCCCCAGGTACCTTCAGGAGAGATTAAAGCAACTTCATGAAGAGGTCAACCTCCTGAAATCTAACATTGCCAAATACAAGGTAGCAGAACCGTGACGATGATGGTGATGATTCACTCTCGTGCCTCTAAATGTCATCCTACTTTAATTCCCTTTTATGTGCCAAAGATATTTTCGTGCCTGCCTGCCCTCCCAGAGAGAGGCCCGTAAGAGCTTTAACTGAGGTAACCCGTGAGAATTAAACCCTAAACAACAAACACAACAAAACAGCTTTTGCAAGGGCTCCTTCTCTTGCTGTTATCAGGACAGGGCACACGGAGACCCCCCAGGATCTTGACAGAGTCATCTCACAGCCTCAGTCCATACGGCATTAGGCTTCTTACTGACTTTTCTATAAAACGTTCTGTCATCAGATACTATTTGTCTCATCACCATCCGTAAGAAAACAGTTTCGGAGCGATGAAGAAACAAAGCTTAGGAAATCACAATCCAGACCATAATGTTCACATCTCCCTGAAAGGACAGAATGTCTAAATTCTCCCCACTGTTATTTCCTCTCATTCCAGCACCATTAGTTTGATAATATCTATTTCTGCAGATGTTACTTGTGTTATAATTAGAAAAATCTCCTGGGTGTCTCTGCTTTGAAAATAGATTGATTTCTCTTCCTGAGGGTGAAGTTTTCTAGCAGTCTAGATGCTTGAGGGAGCCTTCTCATTTTCCTGGCTTTTGACGTGGGCTTTTTTTTTTCTCTCAGAAATCTCCACGCTATTCCTCCTTTCTGTCTGTGGGGCCACACTTTAGTTTATACCAGTCTATATATACACATGCAGCCAAAGAAGGCAGCTTTTAAAGATGTATAATTAATACATAATTAAAAAATATGCACATGCGCATTCATTTAAGGACGTTAATTCAGTTCTTCTATGGGCCAAGCACTGGCTGTATAGTACATATCAATTTTAATGTAAGCGTTTCTTCTAAGAATGGCATTTAAGGGCTCATGTGCACTTCCCTTTCTTATGTCCATGGCAGATATCACCTATCGATGGTGGCTCTTTCTCCGATCCAGCCATAGAATCCTTCCAAATACCACTAATGACTGCTGGGCATGGGTACATGAAAGATAATCTGTTCTCCCTCTCACGTCTGTTTGAAAGGGGTTTTCATAGTCAGTGACTTTACACATTAGACTGAGTTCCTGCTTCAGATTCGGTAACTTGACAAATATGCATTGGGTGCCTTTCATACTTAGGAGACAGTAGTTGCTGTCATTCTGCCAGGCACCAATTTTTTTTAAAAACTCTTTACCAGGTCCATACAAATGCTAGCCCTTTGGCAGGGACTCAGAATTTGAACAGGGGGGCCAGCATTTAGAGTTTGCCAAGGGTTCTTGTATGCTGAATTGAGAGGATGCAGCTAACCGTAACTGGGTATTTGTCCATTATTGGCTTTTCTGACAGAGGTTTTTATTTTTCTCCCCATGCTCCTTTAGAATGCTCTCGAGAGACGGAAAAACTCAAAAGGCCAGGGTAAATCCAACAGCAGTGCTCTGACTGGAGTCCTCTCTGCCAAGCAAGGTACGGTGCGTTATCTGGGAAGGGCCACTTAGCATCACAGAATGCTAGAGCTGCCAGTGCCCAGCCCGTTTGCGGCCTGGGGACCGAGCTGATCCATAGAAATGTCCACCTGCCTCAGAATTCCCTGGATGGCTTGTCAGAACACAGACTCCTGGGCCCCCCACCCAGAGTTTCTGATTTAGTAGGTCTGGTGTGGGCCCTGAGAATAGGCATTTCTAAAAAGCTCCCAGATGATGCTGATGGTGGTTTGAGGGCCCCGCCTTAAGAACCTCTCCCTTAGAGGTTTTTGTAATAACTGGCCCTTGTTTGTGTCCCTTCCCCTGCACTGTGCTCTCCTTTCAAGAATGTTGTCCTTTCTCTGATCACCAGTTTAGTGTCTCCAGGTACATGTTTCAGCCTCCTTGAATTTCCCTTTTTCCTGGCTTCTTTGATCAGAATAGAAGTCTCATAGCTGCTGAAAACATTTCATCATGGAACATGTGCCTTTTTCAAAGAAGCTTTTATCGATTGCAATTTTGTTCCCCCTCCTTGTCAATTCCGATGAAAAATAATGATCTTCCAGGAACAGTCCAGGGGAATAAATAGCAGGGAGCTTGCTTCTGACACTTACTATTTGGGAATTCAGTGGTAAATGTCAGCCTCAGGTTGAACACGCTCGACAAGCCCACTCTTGGGTGGTTGGCAGGGCAGACAGCGCCAATCAGATGGCAGTCTTAATCAGAACTAGGGTAGCTTGAAAAAAAACATGCTGACTCTCCTGCTCACCTAATAACCAAGGCACTTTTCCAAGCAACTTCTTTTTATTCCACTAGGAAAGGACACTCTAGAATTTTTTTAAAAGGAAACTACAATACTCTATAGATATGTGAAGTAGCCCATCTAGGTTTAGTTTTGGAGACCCTTGACAGCATCGCATCTCTGAATGCTGAGATGCGGTCTCATCACCGCCGTGGGGTGGGAGGAAGGATGCCACCCACACCCAAACACCATGGCAGAGCAGTAAATCTGGACAACCTTCCTAGGTAACCATTTGTCAACCTCTTATGAAATCCCTTAAATGGATGCCCTTTGAGCCAGCAAGAAATAACTGTAGACACACACAAACATTTTGTTTCAAAAAAGTTCTTCCTGTATTAGCTATAATTTTTTTAAAAAACCATTGGAAACAACATATTTATTAATAATTATACATCTATATATGAATTACTAAGCAGCTCTTACATTTTGTTTTAGGAGCTATTCATGATGTGGCATCAGGTTAAATAAAAAAAGCAGAGCTTTTCCCCATTTTTGAAGAGAAGTGTATGAATTTGTATACCCACATGTAGAAATGGTGTTCAAAAATCTATAGTGATTTATACTGTTTCCTTTTCTTCTGTCTGGTCAGAGTGCAAGTGCAAGTGGCCCTTGTCTTTTTGGGTAATCTCTTAGTTTATCCACCCTTTCTAAAAATGTGCCTGTACAAAATATATTTTGTAGTTTAAATAATCTCCTGAATTATCTCACTACCCACTGGAGGCAACTTGCCCTGGGAAATTATGTTTTAGAGGAAGGAATTCAGGACTAGAGTCGTTGTCATTTGCATGGCTGCGTGACCTCCAGCCGACGCTTTCATCCATCTGCACCTTGCTTTCCTGTCCATGAAATGGGGATAAATGCTACTTCCCAGGTGGATTTTTTTTTTTTTTTGGTTCATTTTACGTCTCGAATGAGTTAGTCAGTGTAAAAGTTTTGTTGAAAATGTAAAATACTGGACAAATGCAATAGATTATTATCCTCTTAAAAATTGTTAACAGAAGTCCATGAGGACTTCCTCCTTTCTGTTTAACCCACACACTGAATTTTATTTTGTGCTTTTACCCCCTGAGTGGACTCTTCAAAGCAGCATAGCAGCATTTAGAAGCTGGGCATCTATCTTTGCCCAGGCAGGGCTGACGCGGGTTTGCGACCCAGTGTTCCAGGTGAACTTCAGGCTGACTTGCACATGCCGTTTCCCACCTAGTTCAGGATCTGTTGTCTGAGGATCACGGATGCAGCCTCCCAGCCACTCCGCAGTCCATTTCGGACCTGAAATCTCTGGCAACAGCCCTGTTGGAGACGATCCATGAGAAAAACATGGTCATCCAGCACCAGAGGCAGACCAACAAGTAGGTGGCTGGACCTTTGGGTGGGAGGTGGGCAGGAGAGATGTGGGGCGATGGCAACTGGTGTGACTACAGGCCTCTAGGGAATCAGGTGAGAAGCCACAATCTGGAAAGAAACTCCTTCAACTTGAACTGTGCTTCTGTGTTATGATAGCACCTTGGCTCTCAGCTGAGGTCAAGCCAACAAATAATACTGGTCACTTGCTTACTGAATGCTTCCCCCAAACTACTCACTGAGTCATGGCTATTAAATGGTGATTTTGATTACCCTTGCCTGGGTAACTCAGCCTACCGGTCCTCCAGGTCTTCTTTAGGGGAGGCACCTCCTGAGGGCCATTTGCACCTATAGCATGACTTTGAGGGGCCCTGAATGGCAGGAACGGTGAAGCATCGACTCAAAGGCAGCTGAGCCTGCAAAGCAGTCTCATGTCACTCTTCGGGATCAGCCAAAAAAAGGTGGTGAAAAACAATTAAAAAAGAATGTCTTATTTGGTAATTATAAACATACTGACTGTGATGGACAAAATCGAGCAAGTTAAGGTAGCCATTAGAGATTACAGAAGCAAAACTGGAAGTGTTCAGAGGACGGCGAATAAACAATCCGCTAAAGCAGCAGGCACTGCACACAGGGCTGACTCATGGGCTAGTGCCCTGTGGCTGCTCAGCCCCCCGAGCTCAGAAGCTCCCTGCGTTTGGTCTAATGCTCCTGTCTCCATGTTGAAATTCTGAATTATTTTTTAGCAAGGGGGCTGCACATTTTCATTTTGCACTGGGCCCTGCCAACTATGTAGCTGATCCCAGCACCAAAATGAAAGTGTGAAAGAAGTGAGCAGACAATGAAAGGCTGGGCTTCTGGCAAGAAGGGGAGGGACCAGGGAATCGGGGCCTTGGAAAATGATTGAGAGTATTGTAAAAACAAAATAGAAAGAAGAGGAGATGGAAGTGAAGGGAAGATCGCACAGGAGATTAAGATATATATAAAAGAAGGCAGAGAGCAGTGGAGGGAGTCTGGGCAATCTCGAAGAGATGACAAGGGTAATTTATTGAAAGGAGTTTCAAAAATTCCTTTAAAAGAAATCTTAACCAAGAAATGAAACAGCCAGAGGCTGAAATGCAGATACTAATAAGGGAAGGGCGAGGGAATGGGAATCTCCCCAGTGCAGGCGTGAGGTCTGTTTTTTCAGGCTGGATCCCTGTGGTGCTCCCCACCGCTGTTGGCCTGACACTCCTGCCCCAGGGACAGGCTGGTTTCCTAATGTGTCCCCAACATGTCCTGCTGCAGCCATGTGCATTCCCAAGGTCCTTGGGCTCTCACCTCTTTTGAGAAAGATTGACACTTTCATTTTGCCAGGTTTAACTTTGCTTCAATGCACGTTTTCATTCTTAACTATTTAATAATTTGTAATTGTCTCGTGGTTCAAATTTAAAAGGTTAAACAACAATATACACAGCTCCTTGAGTAGGCGGTTTGTTATAACATTAATGTGTTGTGTAGGAACTTAACTCCTGTTCATCTCAGTTAGCCTGTGGGAAAATTGGTTTCCTTATATGTCATTTCACTTGAAGTCAAAGAACCTGCTGAGGGTGTTAAGTTAGGACCTACTGTATCTCCCAACTACTGTTGTCTCTTAGTCACCAAATTCCCTTTTCTGGAAGAAACTACTGGTCCTCACGGCTTGCGGGTCTTTCCCAAGCAAGCACATATAAGTAAATGCGTAATACATTTACATGGACACACTAAAATATTCATGTATGTTTATGTAGATATAGACATTCTCTTTTTTATGCATAGTAGATAGCATAGACTTTTTAAAAAAGGTTTTCACTCTTCTGCACTTTGCCCATAACAATAGATCTTGAAGATTGTTTTATATCAGTACATGAAGTACCTAATGTGCCATTTTTAATACTTAGAGGGTCTTAAGTTTCATACTTTTGATAAATGTTTTATTTGGGAGCATGTAAAGAAATTAATTAAACAAGAAATGGAGTGGGGGCTAAGAATCCAATGTGATTTCTGTCTGCTTGCTGTTATTACCCCCAACTTAGCATTTTGTAACTAACATAATAAGATAGCTTTGTGTTGGTGGGGCATGAAAAGTAGGAATAAAGATACTCTGTTCCAAAAGTATGATTTCTACTGCCTGACAGTTACCGCCCACCCCTTGAGAAGGTGCAAGGAGAGCCATCTTGAAGAATTGATGACTAAACCCAGGACTTTACATTTGAGAGCGTGTTCAATTACAAGGCATTTTGCTCGAGGTACTTGTTTCCAAAGAGTTGGCAGTTGTCTGATTATCACTAAAGAAGAGATGAGGTTCACTTGTCTTATAAACAGATGGCAAAGCATTAATAGAAGAGGCAGATGTTAGAGTACTGTTTCACTCTCTAGCCCTTCCCGACAAACCCTCACGTTGCCAGAGGTGGGGGTGGGGGTGGCAGTGGTGGTGAATTTATGAAGACATGTTGGCCTTTCGCTCCCCTTCCTGCTGTGTCTGAAACTGTTCGCGGCTCTTCCCTCTCCCTGGCCAATGGTAAACAGCTTGGAAGTTCAAGATCTTGGTAGCAGCAGGAGCTGTCAGGGATCAGAGCAGAGATTCAAAAGGCCACCTGGGTGGCGGTGGGGGCAGGGTTATCTCCAGGGCTGTGTAGAGCCACAACCAGCTGCTTCTGCAGGCCCTGGTTCTCCCCAGGGACCCTGCCTCGGGGATGCCTGTCCCCTGTGCTGTCCAGATAGCAAGGACGGAGGCAGAATGGTGGCCAGTTCCTGAGTGAGTTCTGTCTTTGCAGATCCCCTATGATGTTGTTATTATCACTAACTGCTGTTGAAAATCCATCTAGAGGCCTGACATCTTGAGGATTTTCCTAGACTACTGGGTGGACATATGCTGAAATCTCCCCTGTCTTAAAACAAACTGTAGCTAAATAAAAATTTTTGTTTAAAATCTTCCTTATCCTTAAAAAAAAAAAAAAAAATCCTCTCTCTAGCCTGTTTATGCCTCAAGCTACCGCCCTAGCTGTCTCCTTCTATTCCCTGCTAAGCTACTTGGAGAGTCAGTCATCTATACTCACCACCTCAATTTTCTTACATTCTGCTTTTGTCTCAGCCCAGTCACTTAGATTCTGAATTTCACCTCCTCCACTGAAACATCTCTGTCAAGCGTCAGACACATCTTCTAAGTGGCCTCTTCTAAACTTTCATTTAGAAGTATGACCACTTCTAGAATAAGAAAACACTGACCATGCCATCCCACCTGGAGCTCTCTGTTGGCCTCCAAGGTCCCACGTTGCCCTGGTTCTGCACCTTCATCTCCAGGTGTGCTTCTCTGGTCCTTTCTTGCCTCCTGCAGGAGGCGATGTAGTTCCCCGTCCTTCTGACTTCTCCCATGCAGTTGGTGAGCAGATCCCCTCTCCCAAGCTACACTCCCATCTTTGCACCCCCAGATCTTTCCTCTCTCCCCTGTGTCCAGATGGGTATCCTGCAGACACTGCACGCTCCTCACCTACCTCCTGGTTGTTGCCCTATTCCTTGGGCTTCCCTACGTTCTTACTGGCTTCTTTTGGGCCATGATTGTTGTCAACTTGGATGATGACCGTCTATCTGGTCTTTCTGCTTCTTTTCATATTTCTCCCAGGACCTTCTCAACTCTGCATCCAGAATACTTTTCCTAAACTTCATTATGCTGCTTCTCTGCTTAGCATCCTGCAATGCCTCCCCATTGCCAGTGTGTAAACCTTAACTTTGTCAATATGGCAACAAGACCATGAAGTCTGGGTCCCTACAAGCCTCTCTGGATTCATCTGTCATGTACTCTTTGCTTCTGCTCCACGGTTCTACTGAAGGACTTGGGTATTTCCAGGCCTAGGTTTTGATTCTGTCCCCGTCACTTAGCAGCTGTGTCACCCTGGGCATGTTAGTTGACCTCCCTGGGTCTCAGTTCCCACGTCTACAAAATTAGGATGAGAAGAGCTCCCTCATTGGTTGTGGCAAGGGATTAAAAGAAATATCTGTGCAGTGCTTAGAGTAATACCTGGTACAGAACAAGTGATTGGCAAATATCAACTATTAGTAAAGCTTTTCACTGGCACCGTGTGCATGTGTGTGTGCATCTGCGTGTCTGTCTCCCTGCAGGCTTTTAGTCCCTCAATTACAGAGACAGCATCTGCTTCTCTTCAGTATCCTCTACAGCCACAGCAACTGTTTGTCAAACTGGTCAAACTGGTCAAACTGAATTGAACGGACCCTGTTCCTACTCCCACCATCCCCATCTGTAAATACAGCCACCCATTAAGACTCAGATAGCTCTCCACCCTCACTGGGCCGCATCACGCCACGTTCAGTGGACCACCTGCCATATTCTTCCAGTGTCAGGCCAGTCCTGAGGTCCCTCTTTGTCATTTGAAGCATCTCGGGTTCTATTTGGCAAGTCAGCTGTGGTTATAGCCCTATTTCAATATAAATGGTTTTTAATGAGTATTTGCTCCAGTCGTGATAAAGCTCATCTTACATTGTTGTTGTTGGTTAAGAGCATGCACTTCAGAAGCAAACTGAGGCTTAGGTTTGTGAACCCTGACAACTAAGAAGGGCTCCTGGTGGCTAACTACACTCAAATTAAAAAAGAAAAAAAGAGCTTTACAGCCATTTCTGCCCAGGGCTTCCCACACAAACTGCCCTTCACTGAGAAGCTTCTGTGCCAACATGCCTGCCTGTGTTAAACTTCCTTCCTCCGCACTGAACTGCGTGCCTGTGTTTCTGTCATCTGAGCCAGCCCCTATAAAGGAGTTCCTGGAATCCTATTTCAACCAATAGGACTAACTAAGGCTTTCCCCACCCAATCAGAACTGCACAGCTCTGACCAATCAGAGCAGCTCTATTCTGACCAATCAGAACAGTGTCTTGGGACCAATCAAACTGAGGACTAGGTATCCTCATTTGCATGAGGATGGACCAGTCAGGGACAAGGGGTGGGGACTTGTGCCTATATAAGCCAGCTCCCCTCTGGCTTTGGGAGCGTAATTTGCACAGAAATGTGAGGGCTGGGTTTCCTGGCTCCAGACCAGTGCAGTGTGGAGCAGAACAGAGCACACCATCACTGAACAAGCAGCCTCACAGCCACGCTGAAGCATTATTGAACTGTTTTCACACCATGCCTATTGCCATTGAGCTGTTTGCTCTAAGTTCCCTTCTTCACTGCACCCCAAACTGAGGAGTCCTCTTGGTGTTTGAACTGGCGCCAATGACCGCCAGTTGAGAGGTTCAAATCCAGACTCATCACCAGCTGAGTCCTGCATGTGGCTTTGGCCAGGTTAACTCACTGCCATGCCTCTGTTTCTTAGTGGGAGAAGTACAGTATGGCAGTGAGAGCACTGGGTGTTGGGAAAAGACAGAAGTTTGAAATGAACTCTGGGTCCTCGGGCAAGTTGCTTAACCTCTCTGTTCCTTGGGGTTCATGTATAAAAGAAGGATAAAAATACAATGTACAGTGCAAGATTTTCGTCAGGTCTGATGAAATAATGCAAGTCTTGTAGGTGTTCAGCATGGACCCTGATTTACATACAAGACTCAGAAAAGATCAGTTTTGCTGTTAGTGTTAATAGGAGTATAGTTGCTATTGTCAGTGATCCTATTACTACTACCACAACTTCTTCGGGGCCCATTTGACTGTCTGTAGCCCTGCATCAGATGCCTGTGTCAGGTCAAAGAAGGAAACAGTCACCACAGGCAAACTTGGGCAGGGCCTCTGAAAGTAGCTTGTTGGGGACACCAGTGAATTCACCTCACTCGATTTCTGGGAGACACAGCCGTTGTCTGGGAACAGAAAAAATGGTACGAAATGTCTCTTCACCACACCTCTGAGCGGTGCCCTCATGGCACCCTTCAACATCCACAGGAGAGTTAAGCCTTATCTTTTGTTTCCAAGAGGCAGCCACCTACAGATGATCTGATCTCCTTAAGAAACAGGCATCAACTTGAACACTGCTACGATTGCATCTCAAACCCATCAGCTGGTGAAAAGGGAGCTTGGATCAGAAGGTCTAAGCAAAATATTGAAAGTGAGATTACGAAGAATGGTGTTTATTGAGGGGTCAGAGTCATGAAAGCAGAACAGACCTAACAATTGGAGTGAAAATTGAAAGTAATTGATAAAGGCTATGCAGAATTGAAGACTTAAGGAAAAGAGGCGAAGAAACGCTCTAAGTACCTCGATGAGGGAAAGCACATAGAGTAATGTCAAAGGGTTTTCTGTGAACTCACAGGGGATATTAATTAAGATGCTATAAGTCAATTCAGGTAAAATAAGGATGAATTCAAAGCCATATGCGTATGTGCAGATATATACATATTCATGTCTCTGTAAATATGTGGGTGTGTGCAGCTAGCTCTGGAATATAAAGAGAGCCAGAGGAACAATCCCGGTGTTCTGATTTCTCCTGTTGAAAGGGATTGAAACTCTGCTATTAAGGCTATTTCTGCATCATATTAGCACAGCAGTGCCAAGAAAATCCCCTGAATAATATAAAGACTAGTTTGTCTGTTTTTTTTTTTTAAATTTCCAGGCCAATGGAAAGTGATTGAAATTTTAAATGAATGTGAAATCATTTCCCAATATATTTAATTTTGTGTAAAGGAAGAGAAATGTGTGCCCATGTTTATGTCTTTCCATGCATATAGACAAAGTCTGACATGCAGGTAAATGGTATAGTCTTTTCAAATACTCATGCCAGAACTTACATATCAATGAGCCATAATGGTCACCTTGGCAATATCATTATTCTAGTGATTCTGCAATCTGCAGTTACTGAGAATTCTTTAGAAATGCCTGTTTTTTTAAATTTTCTCCATCAATAATTACAAGCCATAAGAAAAGGAAAACATTTACTTAATCAAGCGCATTTTTTTAACATCTACCAGTCATCATGCTAGATATCAAGGAAGACTCGGACATCAGTCTGACATAGGCGAGATCTAAGGAAGCAGAAACTATTATTTTATTGACCCAAAGCAGCATTACCAAGACTTGATTGTTTCCAAAATTCAGATCTACCTTCAAAGAACTAAGGTGTGAAACCACTAAGGATATTCAAAAGTTATAGTCATTTTTAGCAATGAGTAATTCTTAAATAGAAATGTTGTTAAGATGTTTGGGCAGTGGTGGAATAATTGCTTAGCTTCTCTAAGGAAATACCTTTTTGGGAGAGGAACCACTTCAATGGCAACATTTTAGTTTTTTAAAAAAATTATTCACTTTATTTTTACTTGTATTTTAATAGAGAGAGAGCGAGTGTGTGTGTGTGTGTGTGTGTGTGTGTGTATTCTCTTTTTAGTAAATATCTTAAATCTCGAAACATTTTCTATTAGTGCACTAGTGGGTTCCCATGTATTCTGCTCACAGCCCTGGGAGCTGAGGAGATGCTAATTAATCTGTTTGCTGCAATTTTCTCCCTTTTTCCAGAATCCTAGGGAATCGGGTGGCTGAACTGGAGAAAAAATTAAGAACTCTGGAAGTTTCTGGTTTGTGGAGTCTTCCAGGTAAGCAGAACTTCATAAAATTTGTTTTCTTTCTGTCTTTTTTTTTTTAAAGGAAGCACTCTCATAATTTGCAAAGAAGAGTCTACCTTTTCAATGTCCTTTAATTTGAAGACCATTGCTGAGAAACCTACAAGTGTCTTAAACTTAGAAACTATCATTCTGGAGGGAAGTTAGAAAATTAAAATAAATTTGCAGTTTCTCATCTATGTAACTATGAAGTTTTGCTAATTTAAATGGGCAAATTGTCATTGTATGTGTATTTTTTTTAAGATTTGTATTTTTAAAAAGATGTTGTGAATATAAGAAATTGTTTCATTTTTGTTACCTATAGGTGTCTTATATTTTTTCAACTTAATCATCATCCCTACAAATGATTGTAAGGATACACAAAGATTTGTTCAATTTAATTGTCAATCCTAAAAATGAAAATAAGGAAAAGCAAATGCTCTAACTCCAGGGGTATCCAACTTTTTGTTGTCTCTGGGCCACACTGGAAGAAGGAATTGTCTTGGCCCACACATTAAATGCATTGCGATACATAACCACAAAAAAAATCTCAAAATGTTTTGAATAAATTTACAGTTTTGTGTTGGACCACATTGCAGCCACCCTGAGCCTCATGTGGCCCATGGGCCGCAGGCTGGACACCCCTGCACCCAAAGGCGCTTGACAACCTCCTTCTCTCTTCCCCTATCCCATCTGAAATGTGGCTTGAAACTCAAAATTTCCTGTGGAGATTTTTTTTTACACTTGTGCACCTGAGGAAACTCTGATGTTTCACTTTAATTAGCTGTATTTTTTCTGTTTGTCTTGAAAAGAAATACACCTTTCATGAGACCCCGGTCAGTCATCCCCCCACCCTTTCTCTTTACAGCTGCAGGAATGGGGTGCCTATCATTTCCCACCATCTCCTCTTCCCCAGAAGCAACGCTGTACAGATATTCTAGTTACTTAACCTTTCCGCACAGACTGGTCTCCTCTGCCCTTGATTTGTATCCATTGCCTCCCTGTAATGTACGGGGAATGAAAATAACGCAGCAGGGACATGGACAACAACACGTTGCTTAATGTAAATCTGAATAGCTGCCTTAGGTCGCCTGGAAGTGCGTTTCATAAATTGGAATTTTTAGCCGTGATTCCTTGAAGTTGAGGTCAAAAGACCTAACAGAACTAATTAGTGGCGAGTGCCATCCTGGGGATTTGAATGATCCATTTTGCACAAGAACCTTTTGATGCAGTTAAAACCTTATCTTCTTTGAAGGCCTTTCTTTTATTGCATTGAATTTCAACACAGTCGGGCAAATTTATCGTTTATTTGTGCAGTCAGATTGCTATTTCTGTGCATGTACTGAAGTTTTGATTTTTTTCTCCTCTCCAAATGACTTAGTGAAATTTCACAATGTTTTATTTCTACAACTTATGTAAAAAGCTGAAAGTTGAATAACAATGAATGCTGAGAATTTTCTGTCTCTGGTGATGTTTGGTCTAGGCTGGAATGGCTATTATGCAATAACAATTGTTTCTTTCCTTCCTTTTGCTGCCTGAAGGCCTGAGCTACAATGTTTCAGTAGGATTTGGGAGTATGTTCTACTTGAAATATCTGTGTGTGTGGCTAATATCAGTCCTGCATTAATATCATCCCCGCATGTAAATAAATAGGAATGCATTCTCTATGTATCCTTGCACTTCCCTGATTAGAACAGTTAATTGGAATCGAGAATTCAATTAGTACAAAGCAAATATTAAATGGTAAAATTAGCTTTGAGGGACCCGGCTGAATGGGTTTTATGCCATGGCCGCGTTTGTTCTAACCTCCAGCCTCCACGTAGATGCAAAGCGGGAGGATGGGGAGAGTGGCGATGGCCCAGTGGGATGGCATGGCCCTGGCACAGTGATGAAGGATGTCACCACGAAGCGTCGCCTCACGGCCCTTCTCCAAGCCTGCTGGCGGGGGCGGGGGCGGGGGCGGGCGGGCCCCTCCAATGGAACGCAGACCAGCCCCTTCTGTCTGCTCGTTGTTTTATGACTCCATTTGAGGTACTGAATGGTGGAGCAAAAAGCAGTATGTTCTCTTCTCCTCCTTCTCCTCCTGTTCATCCTCTTCTTTTTCTACTTTTTCCTCCTTCCTCTTCATTCTTCTCTTCTTCCTCTTCCTCTTTCCTTCCCCGAATGGGAGCCAAATTACAGTGTTTTCAGCCAACTGGAGGAAGCTAGGTCTCAGTGGTTTCAGAGAATTGCCGGCTCTCTCTTATTTAGCTGCACCTGGAAAGAGCATCAGTGTCTCCTCCGGTCACTCAGTCCATCAATGTGTTTGATACCTTTCTGAGCATCAACTCTGTGAATTTAGTTCTGTGCCAGGTATTCCAAGACACGCCCCTCACTCGCCCCCAGAACCCACTTTCCCATTAGCACGTGAGATGAATGTACGCCAAGCAGTGAGAGGAAAGCGGAAGATGGTACACGATGAAGCGTGGAGTGATGAAGGTATCACCGTGTGAGATGTCGGCAAGTGCTAGACCTCGAAGGACAGCTGAGAGCAAAACACTCAGGGATGGCGAACCCGTGGTGTGTAACCCGCACTCCCAGGACACCGCCTCCTGGTCAGAGTGCACACGGGAGAGAAAGCATTGTCCTCTTTCCCCATCTAGTCTGATCCCCTCCTCTTAGGTAAGGAAGTTGTCTTAGGGAAGCCAGGAAGTGAGATGATACCCGAGGCCGCCGTGGCTGGTATGAGAACCCAGGTGTTTGGCTCTTCCTTTCCTGGGTCACCGGTCCGAGGGAACTGCATTTGGAGAAGAGGCAATAGGACAGATCCGATCTGCTGGGAAATGGTTTGCAAAGCAAGGTGGATTGGGGAAGAGGAAGTCAGATGCCAGAACAATCTCTTTGGAGACACTCAAGGACGGGGTGAAGACGCCCAGCCCTCATTACTACATGGCAGAAATACTGCTGGGAGTTTAACGTGCTATGATTTTTCTTTAACTCTCTTCTCCCTCCCTCCTTACCCTCTCAGCCAACGGTATCAAGCTCTTGAGGCTGTCTAAAAGAGTTGGGGCAAACTTGTGGTCTTGCTGGGAAGTGGACAAGCTTGACAAATGTCACAGCCTGTGGAGAACTCGTCTGGATAGCAAAGCATATTCCACACTGTTTAGCCAGTCCCTGAGAGGTAGAAAAGGTAAGGGGCGAGTGCAAGGAAGCAGGAGGCTGGGCCGACCTGGTGGACTCGCCGCCGTTCAGTTCCCGGAAGGAATGAGCCTCCACCCTCCCTGCCCCTCCCTTCCCCAGCCCTTGGCTGCCCTCTGCCTCCTGCCTCTAGGATGGTGCTTGGGGACCTCTGAAAGGATGTGTCCTGGATGTGCTCATGCTCTGAAAACAAAATGCCAGAACAAATCAGGCGAGAGCAGAGCCTGGCTCCTTGAGCTTTTCATTTTCATTCTCTCTCCTCCCCTCGAAGCATCAGCCTAAGGAGGAAAATGTGCATTTTGAAAGCTCTTGGTACATTTCAGAGCAGAAGACGGGGGATGTTGTGTTAGAAGGAATCAGGAGGGCTTCCAGAAACCCAAACACCAGTTTAGTGGATGGAAGGGCCTGGAGGACCGTCTCTGTTAGTTCAGGTTTGACCCTAGTTTGTGGGTCACCGTTGCCCCGCTCCCCATCCTCCAGTCCGACAACCCAACGCAAAACCATGAAAGAGCAGCCCATCTGATTAGAGCTCAGCTTAGTCAATACAGGCGCAATCTAGGCTGAGTTAGAAACAATAGAACTGGGATCCTTCTAAGAAAGACCTTTGAACCCTTCAAATATTGTGCAAGAATGACCAAATCTTGGCATTTTGCCTGAAGATAAGGAAATGATCTCCCCAGGCAGCCATTGGGAGAGGGATGTGTCTTCTCCCCAGCCCCCACCTTGATGGGACATAAATGAGTGGCAGCTTCTGTTTCCTCCTCTGTGTGCCTGCTTCTCAGGGTCTTGGAGAGGTTTGATGTTGCTGCCTCCCGCATTTTGGAGGGGCCTTGAGGGGTTGGATGTCTCCCTGTGCTTTGAGGGGGCCACAGGCAGTCCACCCTGGAGAATTCCTCGTGGGAGGAAGGCTCGGGATCTCAGCCTGCTCCCAGTCTGCCCATAATTCTGATTCGTTGGCCACCAGAGAGGACTTGGAAGGCTGGTTGTTCACAGAGAGGCAGGGTGTGTCTCTTACTGAGTCCCCTTAAGGCCAGAGAGCTGCCAGCCCACCTCCTAGAAAAAAGATGGGTCAAGAGATGCTTTCCTTTCCCCGAAGGGAGGACAGTAGCTATTGCCTGTGGTGAGAAACAAAAATCCTGAGGCATCTGCTGCGGGTTCAGAGCAACCATTAAGCCCTCAAGGTGTTTCCAGATGGTCCCTTTGCAGCTCAGAGGGAGACCGATTGTGTTGACTTCATTCTGAGAGTCTCTTAAGAATATCCCGATGGCTCTCCTCGGGAAGCCTCCCCAGCCTGTGGCCTGGAAGATTGCTGGGTTTTTGCCATATGTGAGGAGTAGCTGTGCCAGTGGGGAGCTTCAGGGTTGGCTCCTCTCGGATTTCTGTTCTTCTGGGAAGACCTTCAGAGAGCAGAGAAACCAGAGTGCTATGGCTGCTAATAACACGCGCCATCTGCCTGAGGCAGCGGCCCGCAAGACATCAGGATTCCCAAGGACGCACCTGCCATTTATTCACACATTTATCAGATACTTATCGAGCACCTACCATGTGCAAACTCTCTACTGCAGTCTCGGAGATCAAGTTAATAAGATATGGCCTAACGGGAAGACGGTGCGGTAAACAAATTGAGGGCTCAGACGGAGAGTCCAGGTTCACCCAAGGAGTGAAAGTCTTCACACAAATTTTACCCTGTGCTCTGTTGAGCCTGAAACTAAGATCGTAGAACTCAGAGCCTCTGACTCGAGCCCCACGGAGTGACTTGGCTTTAGAAAGGGTCTAGCGCAAAGTTGGACAGCCAAGGTTGGACCACAGGCTGGGACCTGGTCCCTGGGGCTGGGGTTCGGCACAGTGGTTCCCACCGAGAGAGTGCCAAGGCCTCGTGGAGCAAAGTGCGGGAGCCAGTCCTGCCTGCAGGGCCCTTTAACTGCTGCTGCAGCCGCAGCCCTTCCTGCCCGCCTGTTCCGAGTCTGTGTTCGCAGTGCCTCTGTGTGGAAGCCGTACTTCCCGCTCCTCACCTCCGTAACTTGCCGTGCCCCTCAAAGTAGAGTCATCATTGTTTTCCTTTGCTCCTTCTCTCTGACTCATACTTTCTCCATCCATTGAGGGAGTCCATACAAATACATGGAAGGTTTTGGCTGGTCTGGGACTCTCTGTTCTAAGTGAAAGTTGAGCTGTGATCCTCTGAGGGACCTGATACTCCCTGACTTACCACAGAGTTAATACTCAACCTTAATGACCACACCAAATGAAATCAGATGCAGTGTATACGACAGAGCTGTGAAAGGTACCTTGTAAAGTAGTGATTTTAATAGGTGCCATTGATTGAGTGCTGACTAAAGGCCTAACCCTTGACATGAATCAGTTCGTCAGAACCACCCTGGGAGGTGGGTGCTGTTATTTGTCCTCACTTAACAGGTGAGGGCCCTGTGGCTCAGAGGGGTTAAGCGGCTTGCCCGAAGTCACCCGGCGAGGAGGGGATGGAGTCCAGAACACACACGCTGTACTGTGGCTCCAAAGCCCGTGCTCCCAAGCGTCCCGCTGGTGTTAGTATTGTTACTGTGTCACCCTGATCAATGCCACTCAGCTTTTGGCTGACATACAGGCCGCCCCTTAACGGTGGCGTTTGTGGGCAGCCATGTCCCAGGCAGACCCCCAGGGCTCGAAGGCAGCCATTGCCTGTCCTCACGTTACAGAAAGGCCTGCTGGCCATTTCCTTTCCATGGTGTTAAGAGACTCTCAGACTGAATGAAGAGGGTGCCCTGTTCAGCAGCCAGTCCATTGTGTGGGCGTGAATGTGTCAGAGCAGCGACTCCACTGAGGACCTCATATGTCCATTTTCCCCTTCTCTGTGACAGGGGGCAAGGACACCATGCTGTTCAGTGACCCCACCCTTCCCACCACGCAGAGGTCCAGATCCCCATTGCTGAAGCTGGTCGAGCAGCCCACCGAGCACAAAGCAGACTGCAAGGACGGTAAGCACACCTCGATTTCTTTGTGGTTGCTTGGCTCATGCCAGGGATGGAGGAAGGCTCAGTGGGCATCGGTCCTTGCCCTCCTCACAGCTTCAGGGGCACTGTTGGGACATTCTTTATGTTCCTCAGTTACTTCTTTCTTGTTGCTTACATGGGCTCATCTTGTTTGGAGCTTCTGGAAGAAGAATGCAGGCTGCTGCACTCTCTGCACGGTGGTGCAGAGCTTCAGAGTTAGGGCTCGGTTTGCTGAACAACTTGGGTTCATAATCTAGCCCCACATTGTAGTGACTGTGAGGACTTGGCCTAGTAACTTCAGCCTCAGTTTTCTTACCTCTAAGTGATGATGCCAACCTCAGAAAAATCCTGACATGTTGCCTGGCACATGGTAAGCAACCTGGGAATCAGTCACGTGGAGAAAAAACCTTCTGCTCTCCCAGGCACACTTTCTGAAGGCTGGGTGTCCTGAAGGGGACCACTTAGGGAGAAGGCAAGCCAGCGGGTGCGAGAGCCAGGTCTCTTCCCACGTGGCCGTCTTGTCTCCAACTAAGCTGTCCTCGTCTTTCTAAGTTTGGCTTGTCTTCTTCCTCCATCCCCAGTGTGGTTGCCACCTTCCAGAATGGCCCCACGTGACCCCTCCTCCTAGTGCTCATGCCCTTGCGTAGTCCTCTCCTGCATGTGTCAGGGCTGATCTGTGTAACTTACAGAACACAGCAGAGGTGACAGTATGTGACTCCCAAGGCTAGGTCATAATAGACATGTCTGTCTTGGATCATTCACTCTAGAGGAAGCAAGCGGCCATATCACGGGGATGCCCAAGCAGCCCGACATGCCTTCAGGTGGCGTGGAGCGGAGGCCTCCAGCCATTGGCTGTGTGAGGGGCCATCTTGGAGGCAGAGTCAAGCCATCGGCCATCATGAGAGACCTTTAACCAGAACCACCCGGCTAAACTGCTCCCAGGCTTCTGAGTCTTACGCTGCTAAGTTTTGAGGTCATTTGTTATGCAGCAGCACTCGACTAACACACCCAGCACATGGGTGTCAGGGTTCTTTCCTTGAACACTTACATTTTCTCTCCATTTTCTCGTGCTCCAGAGTCATGCCTTCAACCGTCACCTCCATGAAAATATTCTCAAAATATTTTCCCCCCATTGGGGCCCTCTGCAGAGTTATAGTCCCACGTTTCCCCAAGCTCAAACTTTCCCACCCAGATGCTCTATGGACTTCTCAAGTATGACATCAGCAGCTCTCCCTGCCTCCTCCCTCGCCTGTCCCCCTCTCAGCCACCCGGGCTGGAAACCTACGCGTCATCAGGGCGCACTGTCAACTTGCCTTCCCCCTCCGCTCCTGGCCTGTAGCCCAGCCCTTTCTTTAGAGTTCCTTGTGCCTCCGCTCCTACCACTTCTGACTTGGTACGGGCCCACTTTACACCCTCAGCAGGACTCCCCCCCAGTTTCCCTGCCTCCCAGACTCTCCTGACTTCATTCCCATCTTCCCGCTGCTGCTGCTGCAGCACAAAACCCTGGAGCCCCGCTTTCCATCTCGTGCCCCGCACCACACTCTCCAGTAGCCCCCAGCTGTTTTCTGCTTGGAATCGCAGCCCAGTGGCCTGGCCTCGCCTGTCTTTCTAACCTTATGGTTCTCTGGCATGAAAACTGTGTTTGATCAAAACACGGAACTGTCCTAACCAGCTCCATCAGCTAGCTATTTTTGTACAACAAACCACTCCAAAAGTTAAAGCTTAAAGCAATGACAATATACTATTTATCACAAGCCGTGTTGTCAGATGGGCAGGTCTGCTCATCTGAGCCGGGCTGGACAAGCTCGCTCACACATCTGGACAGCTGTGTTTGGAAGCCTGTGCTAATCACTCATCGTAGTGCTGGAATGGTAAGAAGAGAAACTAGGGCAGGTCTGGGGTTTCAGCAGAGAGGTTCCCCAGGCCACGCAGGGAGAATTCCTGGAGAGACCCCCTGACTTGGGTGGGTCCCACACCAGCCAGAAGGCAAGGCTGGGCCTCCCCAGCCAGCAGCAGGTGGCTGTTCGCAAGGCTGGTCGCTAACACAGCCTGGCCTCCTGCGCCGTCCGGAACATGGCTCAGCTGGCGGTGAGCCCCTGGGTGGGCCCGGCCTGCTACGCCGCAATGGAGTGTGAGCCTGGCTTGATTGTCACCACAGCGGCATAAGTAATGGCCTGATGCAGAATGATAGCTTCCCGGATTCCATCATTAGCTCTCATTGTTCCAAGCCCGGCCTTCGGCAGCACGGGCGAGAACAAGGAAGCATTTATGGCGCGCGGTCAGTGTCAGGGATGGCCTGCCTCGTCGCCGCTGCTCTGATTAAATCCACCTGGACGCAGCTCACACTCGGGGCGGCGGGGACAAAGTCCATCAGGGACTGGTTAACAAAAGGAGACGAATGTCCCCTTTGGGCCAGTGGGAGGGGAGGGGGGCACATTTTTAGGGACTAGCAATCTTTCCTCCAAAGAGCTACTGTTTCATCATTTTTTTTAGAGAAAATATTTTTTCTCTCCACACTATTTGTGTCATAATGCATTTGTATCAGTTGATTACCTCATCATTATTGATATGTGTATTGTTATTAATAAGTATTAATGATACTAATTCTGTTTGCTAAAACAGCACGGAATAATTACTGTTATTTATAATAATATTTTCCTACTCTGAGTGAGTTCAGAAATCTTTCTCTTATGAAAATGGCAATGTTGTGTGTTCTCAAAGGGAAGATGACATTTCACAGCTTAAGAGTTAATGTTACAGAATCACAGAATTAAAAGAAGATTTTGCTCCCACTGCAAGCAACCAGAGGCGCTAGTTTTGGTTCAACAGTTGTGGCATTTTTCAGTGACACTTTTTGGTCTCCTGGTGATGACTTCAGTATATTTTTTAGACACCTGTGATAAACAAAAGGGAGGAGTGTTTTGGTAAATCTGCTAGGACCCATAAGCTAGTCCTGGAGCCTGGCCTCTGTATCTTGGAGGTCCTGGGGCTCTGAGAAGCTGGCCTTTATCGGAAAAAAATCCCTGATAGAACCAAATGGTAGAATTTCAGCCTTGTCCCCTCCCCTTTGCAGCTGTGCTTTGACCTCTAATGATGAATACAGTTTGGCTCCCCTCCCCCAGTTCTCCCTGCTAATCTCAGAGGCTTGCTGTTTTCAAAAAGATTTGTACATTTGATTATGAGCGACTGCCACCTAAAGAAATGGCACAAGGCAAAGTACCAGCAACCAGAAGTCCCCAGTGTGATTTAGACCACCCTCACTTAGATGTCAGTGAAGGTAGAGAAGATTAACCTGACCCACTGGAAAAACATTATAAAAGGTTTACGGGTTAGGTTGTTGTTGGTAGAGTTAATGCATTTTTCAGGGCCACTCGAATATCCTATTAAGTGTCCTGGAAGCAGTAACATCATAAGGGTAATTTCCAGAAGGAGTTTACCCATCTCACGCTGGTGAAAAATTTTGCTACAGAAAAGACCATCATTTACTCCTCTTGAATACAGCGGCTCACTCCATTCTGGAAACTTCGTCAGTTTGACTCAATATTTCCCATGCTCCCTGTGCAACCGCTGTAAAAATTCTCACTTGCTAGTATGAAAATTATGTGACTGCTTCCCTGAGCTACCTCAGAAGCAGCTAGATGTTTGTGTTAGAAATGTCTCTCTCTTCCCTCTCTCTTTTTATTTTTTGAAAGTGCCATAGTAAGAACTTTTAGGGTAGCAACCTGAATACAACCTGGAACAAGTACCATAAATTCAAGGATTGCTTGATTTATTAATGCATGGTGTTTAAATATACTAACGTATTCACTTATTCATTAATTAATGTACATATCCATAGATTCAAGTATTTAGTAAGCTATTTATTGAGCTGCTACTATAGAACATTGACAAAGTTAAGAAATTAACCTGGTAAGACTTTATGCTTTGGGTGGGTTTTATAGGCTAACTCTATTTAGCTGATCATTCAGGGTAAAAAGAAGTACCCTGTTCCCTCGGAGGCCCAGGCGCAGCCTGGTGGGGATTGGGGCCCTGGGGAGGGTACTTCTGGCCGGATTTAATCAGGTAGGCTTCATGGAGGAGGTGGAGGTGGAGGTGGAGCTGACCCTAGAAGTTGGCCGCCTGGACACGTAACGGAATGATGGTCACAGAGGGCAGGGCAGGGATGCCGTCGAGGTTCCAAGTGGCCGGAGTCTAGGGATATAAGGAGAAGAGCCGGGATAGCAGGTAGGAAGGTCATGGACTTTGTTGGGTCCTTGAAGATCCTGAATCTCATCAGGCTTTGTTCCTGTGGCAGCGGCCCCCTCGGAAGGTTTGATAGCTGGGGAAAGGTGTGGTCAAGTTTGTCTTTTACACTCGCAGTGCTTCTCAAACTGTAACGTGCACCCAGATCACCTCGGATCTTGTTAAAATGCAAATTCTGAGCCAGTCAGTCTAGGGAAGAGCCCAAGGACCTGCATGTTGAACAAACTCCCAAGTGATGCAGCTGCTGCTGGTCTGTGGGCCCCACATTGAGTAACAAAGTTTTGCGCAAGGTCCCTCTCCCAAAAGGTTGGATTAGAGCAGGAGACTAGAAGCAAAGGAACTGATTGGAAGCGAACATAATTATCCTGGCTTAACAGATCTGGATAGATTTTTTTTTTTTTAAGTCAAGGCTCGCTTTATTCACTCATTTATACACTATGAATTTCACTGTAAGCACAAGTAATGGTCTCATTTTCAGGTACAATACTTACTGAGGTCAATGGCTTCTCTGGAGAGTAATACATAGTTATCCGTGACTAAGCACACACTTTAGACAGTACAGTGTAGATCTGGTTCAACTCCTGTCTCTGGGACTTATTCTATGGATATCAAAAGGCAAAAGAGAAAGAAAGGGGCTTCTTTTGCAGGTGGGAAGCAAATGTGTATGGGAAGGACTGCAGAGATGGGGGGACAGTGGTCGTGGCCTGCCTGGCTGAGCGGAGACCCACAGTCACCTTCCTCAG